CACACACACACACACACACACACACACACACACACACACACACACACAATATATATGGTCAGGACCTAGGCCTATGAATTCTTCTCAAGGTCAACATCTAAAGTACTATACACTACACATATTTATAGTGTAGGGTGAATGTTGGTACATCCACAACCATCGCCCTTTAAACGAGAATGTAATGAATAATATATACCAAATAAATATATAACCTGTAGTATACAATACCCCAAAGATTTTTTCACGATAATAAAACATAATAAAGCATTGAGAATCCATTTACTATAAATAGTTTTATAAATCCATTTACTTATGAATAGTTTTATAAATCCAGTTTTATAATATTATTAGTTTATAGTATTAATAGTTTTACAATATCATTAATAGTTTTTTAATATTATTAATAGTTTTTACAAATCCATTTATAAATAGTTTTATAAATCCATTTACTATAAATAGTTTTTTTTTGTCCATACAAATAGTATACCTTCCCTTATTTCTATTTTGTAGGATTAAAGGTTGGTTTATATATAGTTTATGGCTGATTCCTTCACCATAAAAAAGGAAAATATAATCTAGAGGGAGCGATATAAATGATAATAATAATGATAATAAAAGAGCAAGAGGTAAAGAGTGAATAAAAAGGGGAAAATATAGTCTAGAGGGCGCTGTGTAAATGATAATAATAATGATAATAAAAGAGCAAGAGGTAAAGAGTGAATAAAAAGGGGGAAATATAGTCTAGAGGGCTGTGTAAATGATAATAATAATGATAACAACAACAACAATGATAATAATAATAATAATAATAAACAACAAGAGGTAAATAGTGAATAAATGAATGAATGAAAATGAAAAATGAAAAGGATTCTTTGTGTTTCTGTGTATATATATAAGATTAGTCTACTTTACATCTTCTACCGTTCCTTATAAATATGATATGTAAACTTGGATATACATATATGAATTTCTATGTGTATTTCTACGAATTTGAATCTCATCTTTTGTTTAATAAAGATCTGCTTTTTATTCATATATTCATTTTATTCATTTCTTTTTTTTCTTTTTTGGTTTTCTCATATCCGAATTCTCTCTTTATAATGTCATCTAACCAGAAATAACAGATCAAACCTCTTATTCACCCCACCCCCCACCCCCCAAAAAAAAAAATAAAAATAAAGATAATAATAGTAAATAAATAAATAAATAGACAGATAAATAAATAGTATTCTGAGGTAAGACGTCGAGTCCGAAGACATGGTCGTGTCTAAGGTTTCGGATGAAGCCTCTGTAACGTTCGAAGCAGGTCTTTGGCTTAGGCTTAGAAGGGGCAAAGACCACGTAGCCAAAATATGGTGTATTTTGGCTCTGAAAATTCACCTCTAAGAAATATGAGGAGGAAAAAAGTGTTTTTTTCTCATTTTTTTTATAGAGAATAGAAGAATTAGGAATAACTATTTTTGAGGGATGATAATTTGTAAAGAGGTAACGGAAAAGTGCTTTAAAAATATCGGAAAGAGATGGAAACATGAACACTAACACACACACATACAGATACATGTGCACATAGAGGTACATATACGATTGGATGTACACGAAGAAACGCATTTATACTAATACACAGATATATACATACATACATACTTGTTTACACCTACATAGATACACACACATACACATACATCCCCGCTATACACACACACACACACACACACACACACACACACACAACACACACTACACACACACAACACACACAACACACACACATACACACACACACACACACACACACACACACACACACACACACACACACACACACACACACACACACACACACACACACACACACACATACCACATACCACCCCTTTTGCAATCAGACACTCACACATACCCCCAAAACACACACACATACTCCTCCCCTAACGCACAAACACACACACAATACGCCCCCACCCCCACCCCCACACACTCGCACTCTCACACATACACACATACACCCCCCAGATACTCCTCCCCGTCGACACCCCCACAAAACACACACACATACGCCCCCCCCCACACACACACACTCGCACACTCACGCATACACCCCCCCACCCCACCCTTCCACCCCACCCAAAAAAAGAGAAGAAGAAAAGAAAGAAAAAGAAGAAAGACAAAAAAAAAAAAAGAGGAAGAAGACAATAAAAATAAAATAATAAATAATAATAATTAATAATAATAATAATAATAATAATATAAATATAAAATAATAATAATATATATACTCACCCAGATACTCCTCGCCCTCGACCACATCCACAACCAACTTGGGGAAACACTTGAGCAGAATCTTGGCCACTCGCGTATGAGCCTTCGTGTCGCACATGATGAGAACGTGAAGGAGTGTCTCGCCCAGGATTCCACGGAACTGCATCTGCCAACATGCCTCATGGTCTTCCCACTTATTTAAGGGGTTAAAGGGGCTCTTGTTATCCATGTGGACGACGAGCTGAGGAGGAAAAAAGGAGGGTTAGTAAGGAGTGGAGGTGAGTGGGAGTGAGGTGTTAGTGTGCAGGTAAGTGGAGGTGAGTGGGAGTGAGTGTTTGTGAGGTGTTAGTGTGCAGGTAAGTGGAGATGAGTAGAAACAGGGTGAGTGGGAGTGAGTGGTGGTGAGGTGTTAGTGTGCAGGTAAGTGGAGGTGAGTAGAACAGGTGAGTGTAATGAGTGTGGTGGGTGTAGTGTGCAGTGTGCAGTGAGTGACAGTGGTGGTAATGAGTGTGGTGAGGTGTTAGTGTGGAGATTGGTGGAATGAGTGTTGGTGAGGGTTAGTGGCAGGTGTAAGTGAGGTGAAGTGTGAGTGTGTGACTGTTAGTATGCAGGTAGTGGAGATGGGTAATACAGGTAAGTGGTAATGAGTGGTGGTGAGGTGTTAGTGTGCAGGTAAGTGGAGATGGGTAGAACAGGTAAGTGGGAGTGAGTGTTGGTGAGGTGTAGTAGTATGCAGGTATGTGGAGGTGAGTGGCTGGGTGTCGCTGAGGTGTGTTGGTATACAGGTAAGTGAGAGTGAGTTGAATGAGTGTTGGTGAGGTGTTAGTATACAGGTAAGTAGAGATGAGTAGAACAGGTAAGTGGCAATGAGTGTTGGCGAGCTGTTAGTATAAATTAAGTGGAGATGAGTGGTAATGAGTGTTGGTGATGTTAGTATAGATGTAAGTGGAGATGTGTTGAAAATGATGTGTGGTGTTGGTGAGGTGTTAGTATACAGGTAAGTGGAGACGAGGAGAACAGGAAAGTGGTAATGAATGTTGGCGATGTTAGTATACAGGTAAGTGAAGAGGAGTGGAAATTAGTGCTGTGTTGGTGAAGCGTTAGTACGGAGTGGAGGTGAGTAGGAATGAGTGTTGGTGAGGTGTTAGTATGCAGGCAAGTTGAGATGAGTAGAACAGGTAAGTGGTAATGAGTATTGGTTGTGTTAGTTGCAGTAAGTTGAGATGAGTGAACAGGTAAGTGGTAATGAGTGTTGTGATGTAGTATGCAGGTAGTGGAGGTGAGTGGAAGTGAGTGTTGGTGAGGTGTTAGTATACAGGTAAGTGAGGATGAGTAGAACAGGTGAGTGGAAATGAGTGTTGGCTTTGGTGATGGTGTTAGTATGCAGGTAAGTGGAGATGAGTAGAACAGGTAAGTGGTAATGAATGTTGGTGATGTTAATATACAGGTAAGTGGAGGTGAATGGTAATGAGGGTTGGTGTTGCTGAGCTGTTAGTATACAGGTAAGTGGTGAGTGGAAATGAGTTTTGGTGAGGTATTAGTATAGATTAAGTGGAGATGAGTGGAAATGAGTATTGGAGAAGAGTAAGTGAAGGTGAGTGGAACAGATAAGTTGATATGAGTGGAAATGAGTGTTGGTGAGGTGTTAGTATGCAGGTGAGTGGAAATGAGTGTTGGAGATGAGCAGAACAGGTAAGTGGTGATGAGTGGAAATGAGTTTTGGTGTTGGTGAGGTGTTAGTAACGATATGAGGGGGGGGGGGGTAAGGCGGGAGTGGTGTTGGTGGTGATGATGGCGAAAGTGGTGATGTTGTCGATGTTGTTTTAGTCACTTCAACGATGATGGTGATGATGGTGATGTTGATGTTATTAATAGCACCATTGTTATTATTGTTATTGTTATTGATTTAGTTATTGTTATCAGCATCATTATCATTATTATAATAATCTACTATTGTAATAATGAAGAAGATAAAAGTAGTAATAATAAAGAATATGAAAGTAGTAATAATGATAACTGATAATAGTAATGATTATAATGATGAAAACAGTAGTAATAATACTGTTTTTGCTGTTGTTGTTGTTCATGTATTCACATATCATTATTATCATTATCATTGTTATTAGTATTCGTAACAATATTATTCTTATTAGCATTATTACTATTATTACCATTATTATCGTTATTGTGATTATTCTCATTCTCGTTAATATTATTGTTATTTTAATCATTTTTAGTGTTGCTATCATTATCATTATGTATTATCATTATTTATTATCATTATCATTATTTATTATCATTATTATCCTCATTATTATCAATCCTTAAAATCATTACCATCATCATTATTTAAATCAATGCTGTAATCATAGTTATCAACATTATCGTCAATTTCACAATGATTACAACAATAATGAAAAAAAGACATGTTGGAAATAGAAATGGCAAAAAATGATGTTATTAATTAATTACCCAGATGACATTATCAAAGAGGTAATTAAGTAAATCATATTTGTTACAGAAATTACATGACATGACATTGCAATAATAGTTGTATCATTATCTTGCAGGAAAATGCATTGGCAGTTAAGAGATGAATAGAAAGTAGAAGAAAAGGGAAACGGAAAAGAAAAGATAGAAAAAGGAACAGAAGTGGTGAGGGAAAGAAAACGGAACAAAGTGAAGTGAGAAAGAAAATGGAACAGAGTGAAGAGAAAAAGAAAACGGGACAAAGTGAAGCGAGAAAGTAAATAGACCACACGTTAAGAGGAAGAATACAGAAAAGAAATGCCGAAAAGAAAACGGATCAGACGTGAAGCGAGAAAGAAAATGGGACACAAGTTAAAAGAGAAAGTTAACGGGACAAACTAAAGAAAGAAAGAAAACGGAACAAAGTGAAGCGAGAAAGAAAATGGGACACAAGCAAAGCGAGAAAGAAAACGGGACAAAGTGAAGCGAGAAAGAAAACGGGACACAAGCAAAGAGAGAAAGAAAACGGGACAAAGTGAAGCGAGAAAGAAAACGGAACTAACGAGAGACTAAAAAAATAAAACGAAAATAGCTTCAGAACCAAACGTAGGAGGAATAAATTATGTTTAATCAATAATCAATAAATTTAATCAATAAATAATCTTTAATCTATCACCTGGATGAATAGAGTCACTTAGAACTAGATTTAGAAAATGACTGGAAGACTAGGAATCTGTTCATAAAAAAGATGGCATTACCACAAGTATAATCCATTATTTTAAGAAGAAAACATACCTTTTGGCACAGCTATTAAGTAATAGTAAGCCAAAAGAAACCAAAATCCAATGCCTGTAAAGAGGTTAACACTAAACTCTTCTACTGCAGTCAATTATCTGTTAACCCCTTGTACAACCAGCAAGAAGTTAATGCAATAATAATAATAATAATGATAACGATAATAATGATGATAATAATAATGATGATGATAATAATGATAATAATAATAATAATAATAATAAATAATAATAATAATAATAATAATAATGATAATAATGATAATGATAATAATGATAATGATAATAAGGATAATGATAATAATAATAATGGTAATAATAATGAGGATGATGATAATAATGATAATAATAATAATCTAATTTTAGAGTATGCTGTGACAGCTTCCTGAGACATCAATCAAATTGTGGCTTGTCTGTTTATTACGCTTCTAAACTACCCCCCCCCCCTGTGTGCGAGGAATAGCCGGGGTGACCATCCACTGGCAGTGCGCGGGAATCGAACGCAGGTCAGCAACATTGCTAGACAAGAACTATGCAACATACACTTCAACCTGTGTAGTATTCATAAAATAACCTTGCACAGTTGTCATTTACACCTCAAAGGGTCATCTCTCTTGACCTACTTTGACCCAGAATGAGAGTGTTATGACTACTTAAAAGGAAATGATAATGAGAATAATAGTAATGATGATGATAATTATAACCGCAACATCAATAATGATAGTAATAAAAAAGACAATGATAATAATAAGATAATAGTAATAATGATAATAATAATAACAATAAATAATAATATAATATACTAATAATTATATAATAATAATAGTAATAGTAGTAAATAATGATAGTAACAATAAAAATAAATAATAATGATAATAATGATAATAACATTGATAATAATGATAATAATAATAGTAAATAATAATAATAATAATGAATGAATAACAATAAACAATAGTATAATAAATCTATGTCCTTAATTGAAGCAGTGTGGACTTTTTCAACCCATAATTCCGTATAAGCTTGAACATGAACAGGATCTGCTCCTTCACGATTGATGGAGAGAATATTACATCGTGTTATTTACTAGCGTCAGAACAAAAGGAACACACACACACACACACACACCACACACACACACACACACACACACACACACACACACACACACACACACACAATATATATATATATATATATATATATATATATATATATATATATATATATACACTATATCTATCTATCTATCTATCTATCTATCTATCTATCTATCTATATATATATATATATATATATATATATATATATATATATATATATATATATATATATATAGTGTATGTATGTATGTATGTATGTATGCACGTATGTATATAAAACATACATAGGAGTACACACAAGGTCTAGAGGAACATAGAAACAGATTTTTATCAAGCAAGTTAGACGTCCATAGAAAAACAGATAGACGAAATAAATAAACAGACAGGAAAAGAACAACGAGGTAGATAGACAGCCAGATGAACACCTCTACATCCACAGAACGAACAGAGGAAGATGAAGCATATTAAGAAAAAAAGAAAGCCAAAGCGTGCGAGATACATGGATATACAGATAAAAACACTGGTTGATTACGCTCGATGCAGGATAGATCAACAGATAAGCTATCATTAATCTACAGATAGCGCGTATATAGCGTGGATAGAGGGATAGAGGGAGGGAGGGAGACACAGGACACACTAGTAAAGACAGAGATAAGTACATATAACTGAAAACAAAGAAAGAAACAAAAAAAACATTGAAACGGATAACCGGAGCCTTGCCGAGGAAAAACGTAATGGTGAATGTAATTACTGCTAATGTACGGATGTTGTTTTTTTCTCGACGTGTAATAGATAGAGTGATAAAGAAGATAATCTTAATCAGCTTCCGGAGAGAGAGAGAGAGAGAGAGAGAGAGAGAGAGAGAGAGAGAGAGA